AAGTTATTTACAACACCCTGTAGGAAAGAACAAGTCCCTCACAAATCTTAATGGCTTATTCCCAGATCTTCATATACCAGCACTTCTGGGAAATACATGCAGACTGCAAAAAAATACTAGCTGCTAGTCCACAGAATTAACTGCACATAAAATTCTTCACACAGAATAAGCAGAAGATAAGACTGCACAAGGAAGGGAGAGTGCATGGCAGAAATATGAGAGATAGGAAGGTAAAATAACTTCCTCTTTCACACTCACTCTCTCTTGTAAATTCTGTTTCGTAACATTCTTCCTCTCCAATCCACCTGATGCAGTCTCTTTGGACATTTGGACATAAATATTTTCTTACAAGATAATTTTATCGTACTATTTGTCAATGTAATTGTAAGTTCCAAAGGCATTTTCATACGACAAACTTGTCCAAAATGTCTATCAGTTTATAACACAAAGAGTCACCTATTATTTTTCTGCCCCCTAATCACATCTACCTCTGCTACCTTTCCTTTCACCACTGCACCAGGTGTCCATGGGAAGGCACTGGGTCTTCAGGGCAGCCCCTGTGAGTGGAGCCACAGCCAGTCCTCAGCCATCTCTGCCATAGCCCCAGCTGAGTCTGTCACAGATATCAATGGCACAACTGTGAAAGTGTATTTATGAAAGGCACTGCATTGTAAAGAGGCTACTTCATTCATCCTAAGGTAGACTCGTCATATTATTGGGAAGCTAAAACAAAATCACTGTCAGAGGTTTACTAAATCAGCATGGAAACACTTATTCTTTTGCTATTTGTAGTATCTCATCACTTTCGCCCGAGGGAGCTTTCCAGAGCCACCTCTTTTGTAACTGAACCCACCCCGCTACCCCTAGGTCCACACACAAAGCTGGATGCCCTCAAAGTTTCCTACCAGCCAAGGACTCTCTTACTCAATCACTCCTGGCTCTCTTCAATATTTTCATACCAGTGACCACACTAATGTGGACTAGTCTGGTTTTTCTGCCTGAGAAAAGAGTAGGCAACCTCGGAGTTGTCCATATGAATGACCATGGAGATATTTGTCATTCAAAGGCCTGATTTCATCCATGAGTTAACTGCATGGATTTGCCTGTGTGAGTTGGTAAATAACCTTACCTAGCCAAATGTTTAAGCAGCTAAGACATTCATTTTCCAACAGCTTTCTTTGTAGCAAAGAAACAACTAAATAAATTATAAAGCAGATTTTAGAGAAAGGCTTGAAAAATTAATGGAAATCTGAGTGATCAAGCCTGGAAATGCCTGATGTGAAGCTAGCTGCATAGCTCTGATCAAATCAAAATAGTCAGGGAACTGTTTCACATCAATGCAGCCATCGCTGGGAATACTTTCATAGTGACACCACTTCAACACACTTTATTAAACTTGTTAAGATACATTATAATCACATCTGACAAATGAATAAGCTTGAGTCTGTTTCAAAATGAATCTACATATCTCTTTAGTTAATTTACATGCTGGCTTAAAAATATGAAATTATGCAGTAGAGATAATTGCCTCCTAAAAGGTGAAGTATAAAAAAAAAAAAATCAACTAATAAAACTGATTTTCTTTTCTGATGATATAATTCTTAAACCTCCTCTGAGCTCCAGCAAAACAACATAGCTCATAATAAAGGAAAGGAGCTGAGCAATTCCTCCTCACTTGTTCTATAGCTAGGTTATGAAAGCCTGTGTGAATTAATAGAAATTATAGCAGAAGCTTCATTCTCACTAGTACTTAAAATACACAAAATAATATCATGATTATTTGGTGCTGTTATTCAGGGAGTTACAGGTAGCACTGAATACTAACACTGCAGCATCACTCTTATTTTAACACCCTGCTTTTTCTGGCTCAAACTTTACCCATTTATGTTGACATCTTCTATGAGTCTCTCTTTCTCTTGGCTTGAGGTTTTTTCTTTTTTTTTTTTTTTTGGTTTTGGTGCTTTCATCTTGATCAGCTCAGCCATTTCTGACACTGCCAGTGGGAGAGAAGAATTTTGCACATGTAAACTAGTTCCCAGACTTTTTGTTTTGAAGCCTGCTAGCATTTCCACACTTCCCACACATGTAAGCAGGCACTCAAAAGATTAACAAGGAAAAGAATCTGCTCTCAGTGACTGAGCTGGAGCTGCTTGTGGCTCAAACTGTTTGATTTTGCTGACCAAATTTACTAGCATTGTGCCTCCACTGGAAAGCAGGTATTAAATTTTATTTGCAACTCAATAGTGTTCTAATACCTTAAAGTGAGTAAGTATGTCCTGTTCTTCAATAGTAAGGGTGAGAAAGGATTTCAGTAACTGCTGTTAGAGGACATATTAAAATTAAAAGCAGAGATCTTCTGTCTCCTTGCACTCTGTTAGCCTTCTAGCATCACCAAGGAGAAACCTAGTTGAATTATAAGTTAAAAAAAAAAAAAAGAAAATGAGCAGTCAATCTGCAAAAAAAGTGCCAAAAAGCTGGTCAAGAAAAGTGGAAGCTGATGGTTTGGAAGAAAAGTGCTAGTAGTTATGCAGGAGAAAGAGCTGAATCTTCTAAGGGCAGAACCAATCCGGAACTAATTAAGGAAGCATACGTTTTGCTGAAGAACAGTGTATAATCATAATGTGCATGAAAGGAACTCAATGACAACATTCTGCCATTAAATTATAAAGACAAGTACTAAAGACTAAACTTTATCTTGCCAGGTGTATGATTGGTGGAACATAAACACTGACAGATAGTTAAGAAATGCAATTTCTATTTTTCTTGAAAATAAAAATTTTTCAGAAACTAAAGTCTGAATAGGGACAAAACCACAAAAACTTTTAAATCTGTACTTTGCAGAAATATGACATTTCTAGAATGAAATATCCACACTGACTAGAATGAAATATCCATATTCTGACTATAGATTTTAATTTCAGAAGTGTGGCAGGTGCAGACGATCACAGCTCGTTAGGAATCTCCCACAGTCAAGAAATCTGGTGATCAGATGCCAATCGGGTTAGCCAGCCTGGAGATCTAGTCTAGAAAATATGGCTTATGGAAAGCTCCTAGCAAGCAAACCCAAATACACAATAATCCCAAGAAGCCTTGGGACCTTGGCAATCCATTTTAAATCATAAGTAGCTAGATGAACAATTCAAGAGAATTTATAAGCTAAAAAAAAAAATAAAAAAAAATAACTTATGTGAAATATTTCCAATCAGACAATCTGGCAAATTTAGTAATTGGTAAAGTCCCAAAATACATGATTTGTGACCAGAAAAATCATCTGGTAAGTAAATACAAGAGAAGTCTTGTTGTGTTATTCTTTATTTCTAGATCATATGTTTTTAAATCCCTAAAAATTCTATCAAAAGAACATAAGCATCAGTTTTTTTCTTGTAAGAACTTAATATAATTTATAGTTTGTTATCATGACAAATCATGCACATATAACATAACATTACTGAAATAAATGTACCACCAGTGTTACAGTTCTTTTAAATCAAACAAAAAGTATATATTTGCTGAGAAGAAAACACGAAGCTCTAACAACACACACTTGCTGGAGAGGATAGAGAAAATCATATAACATATTTCACTCTGGGACTTAGGAGTAAATGCTTCAAATGGAGTGTACTTTCTGGATGATGAAGAACACAGAGACGAAAGCCACAAAGAAAACTAATGACACCAGAATACAATTACAATTATAACTGATCCAAAGACTGCTCTCCTAAAGTAAACATTTTTTAGAACTGCTTTGGGATGTATGTGGCAATTTAAGGTGGCTTCTTTAATGATGGAACTCTTACAACAATGGGAAAAGCTCTGTGCCATAAACATGAAAAATGGTTACTTCTCCTTTCCCATATAACACACAAACATTTTGATTACTACTCTACACTAAAAGGATGTTTCAATTTAAGGCTCTTCAATAGGCTGCCAGGAATGTTCCGTTCAATGATAACTCTATTGAACAAGACAAGCAAGGAGAACACTACCTTTCTAAGTGGCCAGGAAAGTATGTTATTTACAGCCAAGTAACAAAACAAAAAAACATGGAAAATGTCAAGGAGAAAATCCACGACCCCAAGCATTAACAGTCTGAAAAGCACACCATTTTTTCCCTTCCTTCTCCCTACCCTGCACCCATTGGTCTTTATGTACACTGAAGTTTAAAAGCAACACACAATCTTCTAATGGAAGACTTAGAGCAAAAAGGTCTAAAGATGACGGCAAGGCAATGATGATCAACAAATAAACTACTTCAGGAGAATATTGAGGAGGATATCTAAAAAAAGTAATTGAAATCTAATATATTTTGCTTTGTAACATTTTTACTAGATTTATTAAGGTTGTTCTTTTTCTTTTTTTTTGCACATTTTATGTTAATGCACTTCTTTTATTATTACTTGGGATACAGATGTCAAAATTTCATGTAAGTACAAAATTAAATGCCAAGATTATGATTTTTAGATGTTGGCACAGAAAGTAGTCTGAAATAGAACTATCTCCTTGTCATTGTGGAATCTAAAACAACATGATGTTATGTGAAATGACATTATTGTTAAATGAAAAAGAATCATCTTTACCAAAAGGCTGGTTAAATTGGGAACGGCTTTTGAACAAGTTCATCAATGGTAACCAAAGCCTGAAGAGAGGTAGAGGCATGGGGACAGTGAGGAAATGCATCTCAGGAACTGGAATTCTTTGGAAGCAGTGCTTGCTCATACATTTTCTAACAATTTACCATTGGCAACAGATTACAGGTCTAAAATTCACCATACACACATTTGTGTATCTGTGTGTATATACACATTTTATGAAATACTAGTCTCCTATTTTTATTATGATTCTCTGACACACACGTCAGGACGTTAGCTGAAGGCCTGTAAAATGCATCTAGATTATTCTAATGTCTTCACTGGCAATTGGATCAGGTATGTAACAGAAAATATCTTAACACAAACACTGAAAAAAATGCTTATAAATTAATCATTATAAGAATGTCTTACTTTACTTTCTTCAGGCTTTACACATAGTGGTAAAACTCTCTGGAGCACTGAAGAGACATAGAAGTTTAGGCATGACCTGGGAAAAAAAAGAAAAAGAAATGATACAAATTGTTTGGTAAATTTTTACATATAGAATACCTGTTAGAAATTTATGTCAGTCCTTCAAGAACCTCTTAAGAGGTTGTCTATACTGTATGTTTTTGCCTACGCTTGTGTGGCTTGCTGAGGCTTCTGACCCAGTGTTAGCATTCAAAATAATAAATACCTCTAACTCTCACAAGGAAGACAACAAATAACAAACACTACTTCTCGGGTGACCCTAACATTGGGAAGAAAATATACAACTGCCAATTATTTCAGCTTTTGTGCACATTTCCCTCTAGGACACAAGCAGTATCTTCTGCAGAATATTAGTGAGCCCAAAATGTATTTATTCTTTTGATGCCTGTGCTGCCCAGGTAATTTAATTATGGCTTTTCTTTTCTTTTCTTTTTCTTTTCTTTCTTTCTTTCTTTTTTTTTTTTTTTTTTTTTTTTTTTTTTTTTTAAATGATTTACATGTATAAGCATCAACTGGACAAAAGAGATGAGAAATAAAAGAAAAAATAAGGTTAATAACAAGGAAACAGACATGATATGACACCTTTATAATAAGAAAGAAGCATGTAAAAGTTTAGAAGTGATGTTCCTTCATGGCAAATAATCAGGTCACTATGTACAGTGATCTGACCATTAATATCTCAGGAGCATGCCCTGAGTTTACGACAGCCTCCGTCAACCATTGCATGAAAGCATAAGTTCAATTTTAAGAAACTGTACAACCCTGATAACTTCTAGAAGATATAAAAGTGATCAAAGTAGGTGTTTCAGCTGACCACAATGACATTATTCAATTACACAGATTTACCTTTTCTGAATAAAGAAAATACACAGATAAGCAAAGCATACTTTAGAGAAACAGTGTAAGGAAGAATCATTTGAAGCAGACTTGCATTCTGGAAACCCCAATAGTCACACTACTGTCTATCAAAATCAGCTGCTAATTTAAACAGCATGCTATATGATTGCAGTAAAATAATTCTACAAATAAATAAATAAAAGTCACTAACAAATCCAATAAAAATGTTGATAAACAGGGTTCTAAAATCGTAGCCCAGCTCTTCTCCATGTAGGCACCATAACTCAGAAGAATGAAAGGCATTCATTGATAATGCTCCATTTCACCAGTCAGGAGACAGTTCATAAACAAGTATCAGAAAAATAAAGTTACAGTTGGACCTCAAAGACCATCCACTTGCCTCTTGAAAACTAACAGGGCTTGAGACATCAACCACCTCACTAGGAAGCCTGTTTCAGAGTTTGACCTCCATCATAGAGAAATTTTTCCTAATATCCAGTCAGAATGATTATGATTTATGAAAAATAAAGTGATTAAATTGTGATAGTATGGTATTTCTAGAATAGTTTCAGGCACTTGCTTAGAGTAAGTGTGTGCTTTTCATAACAAAGTTGCTCAAGTTAAATGAGCTTGACAGGATAAGGGACTTCTATAAAATTCAACAATTGCTTTTCTACAGCTTTTTGCAGTGACTGTACGTTTGAATTTTAATATTGCTGATGATAAGTGTTGGCCCAGCAGGAACTCCATAATAAACTGTAGAGACAGTATGCTATTGCAGCAATTCACCACAGAGACAAAGAATTCTAGCCATTATCATCTATCTATAGAAATACAGAAAAAGCAGGGAAATGACATCTTCACTGAGGCAAATAACATTCCAAATGTACCAAACCATGTAAATCAATATAAGAAAGCACATGTTCAACGTCATGAGCAGACTATTCACTGCCAAGTAGATCACTCACATCACTGGCAGGCATGTTAGCAGTTTTCCTTTACTTGAGATCTCAAACGCTTATTTAACACAGATACAAAAATATGCATTTACACTGCTGTTATAGCCATACTTTCAACAAAGTGATAGGGTTTGTGTCAGTTAAAATTCCAGTAGGTGCCCAGTGTTCAAAAGGCATTTGCCTCTAGAAATCTGAACATGGAAGATGTCTGCCATAGAATATTTCTCTTTTGCAACATTTGAAATGAAATATAATCACTTGAGTTTACATTTAAATTACAAGAGTGTCAAAAAAGGAGTCCTGAATGCCTAAAGAACTGAAGCACTGATGTACTCCTTTTGATCCTAAGATCACAGGTTCACATAAGTTCCAAATACTGCTTTAAGGAAAACTGACAACCACAAACTAATTCAATTTACAAGAACTGAAACTCTTAGCTAATGAAAACTAAACTCTTAGTTAAGATGGTCAGAACTGTCATTTCCATGTGATGTTTTGGAAGCAATCCAGAATGAGCATGTGTTGTATTGTGACATAAAAAAGTTTTATGGGCTGATGCACTTACTTGTATAGAGAGCAAAGATCACTGATCTTTCCAGCCACCCTTACAATACCAGTACAACGGGCTTCGTACGTACCAGAAATTGATCTACTGTATTGCAAACACTTAAGTTGTTGGAGAAGCTTTAAGTAGATATAACAATTTTTAAGATCTTAGTGTGATCTTAAAAGCATAGATCATTATCCTCATTAAAAATGGTAATGAGATCTGAATTTGGGGTTTAACACAACTGAATTAAACATCATCTGGAAAGTTAAGAGTGCATTTTCATGAACCTGTTTCACCAACCTCTTTTCCCCTTGATTCATGTTATACAGCGCATTTTTTTTTCTGCCTGGGAGGCACCACAGATATGAAAAACCGCCCTATTGCTAAACTTACTTTGAAAAAATACTCTGATATTGCAGTTTATAATTGCTCTCAGTAGTATTCCACAATTTAAAGTTATTCTTGTATTTTTTTACAATATATATTAGCTATTAAATTAAAAATAGAAATGGGTTCCTTGGGAGAAGAATGCCATCCCCTTTTTGTATGTCCTAGAAAAGTGTGGCCTTGATACTCATTAATGCTATGTTCACGATGATTAGGTGCATCAAAAATCATGAGTAGGTAGTTTGACTTAAAGTATTATTAATACTACTAATGTCATGCATCCTGAGTATTTCCTAATCCAAAGAGCTTCCTTCTTTAAAAACAAAACAAAGATAAAACATAACAAAGATAAAACAAACAAACAAAAAAAAAAACAACCCAAAAAACCCCACAAACCAAGCCAATCCAGACCAGACTAGGAAAACAAAAACATTAATAGCTCCAGAGACATCTTTAAAATAATTATAATAAAATGGTTAAGACAATTGCCATGTCTCAGGCATTTCCATAGTTATACAAAGTAGACCAGACCTACAATAGAATTATCTTTAAAATGTGTAATCTTTAAGTTTCAAGCAGTTTTCCAGGTTCCTCCTTTGGAGTACTTTGGAAAAAAAATAATATATAAAAAATCTTACTCTGTTCTGTCTGTACAAGCAAACCATATTTAATTTTTTTTTAGGATCACGATTAATAACACAGTAAAGAATATGTATAACCCTTAAACATCTAGGAGACTAAAACTTCCTGCCAAAAATAAAGATATGCTTATCTATCATATATTTCATTCACTACAAAATTTGTAAACAAAATTTGTATTCCAATCAGCAATCTTTGGATTAAGTTTTACAAACTGAAGTAGTAGGATGAGACCCCACAAGTAATACAAATATTTAAATTTGAATTTATTTAGAGAATTTTACTTTCTATATGAAGGCTTGCTGTGTTCTGGTGAGGTACAATCATTCATAGATGATGCTAATGCCTGTAAAGTGTTTGTGTTTGTTAATTTGCCTATTAAAAAAATGAACATGTAGCCAGCTGAAAATATTGTGAAGGTAAAAATTAAATATATATATATATCATTAAGGATCTCATTTCTCAGATTGAGGAGACAATATGAGGAGTCATTCAATGTCTTTTGTGCTTGGCTGGCAAGAAAAACTTCATGTCAATAGATGTTCAGTCAGAAAAATGAACATAAATTCATAAAAAAAGATCTGTAGCGTAGATAATAGAGTTGTAGTGAGGACTGGAGAAGAAAATTTTGCCTCAAGGATAGCACAGAATAGAAAATATATGTCAAGTTGAGAACAGATGTTAGAAAGCTTATCAGGAGATTAAGCCGATGAAATGGCCCTGAAACACAATGCATTCCTACATCTAGTAACATGCTTAACAGGATGTATCAACACCAACCCAGCACATGCAAGAAGGAAGAGGAAATTTTTCTGGTCATTTCAATTTCCTACATATTCCGTAACCCATCCAGAATCTGTTCTGCCTTTTCTTTATAAAGACATTGCCTCTCAGAGCCTATCGACCAGCTTTATATCTTCCCCATCCCCTCATGTAATTCTGTCTTTCTAGGGACAGCAGCACTTTAACAGAAGCTGGAGATTTTCCTCTCCTCAGTAGCAAACGAGCCAAGCTTGTATTACTCTATTTTCTGCAAGATTCCTATAGAAGATTGGAAGGTCTAGGTGAGCTTTATAACAGTCAGAAAGAACAGAGCAAAGAGCACACCACGAGAGAGCAGAAACCCATGAGAGAAGTTTGCAGCTGTGAGTAAGGGCAGATTGCTCGCAGGTCCAAAAAGCTGCAGGAGGAAAATAAAATTTACTTCTTTCAATTCTCTCTCTCTTTTTTTTCTTTTTTTTTTTTAAATGCTGTAAGTAGGATTTCGGCATTCACCTGAAGACAACATTCTGGCATACATCATTTTAACACTAATTGCAATTCCAACTTTATTAAACTGTCATCAGTCAGTTTAATTTCTCTGCTCTAGTAACCTAAGAAAAGCTAGTACTGATTAGGTCAGATCATTTCAAGTAGTGGATATATTGTGCTTAACGTATGGTTATTTTAAAATTGCATTTTAAAAAGTACACTTAAAAATATCTTCATTCTATCTTCAATTTGAAGCTTTTGCATTGCATTTTCAACTTTTGCTTTGGGTTTTTTTTCACACCTCACCCATCACTTCCGTGTTTGCTCAAGAATAATAGAAATGTAAAAATTTGGAGAGCAGATTCTCTAATTAAGTCTGAATAAATTAGACAAAACAACGTGGAGACTATCTTTTGAAGTCTGAGAATCATAATTCACATAAATGAATGCATAAAGTAAAAGTGATTAATATCCAATTCTGTGTTTTTCTAAAGTTTAATAATAAGTAACTTCTGTTATAATATTGTAGATACTTTAGGGTATTATTAAATCAGCTATTAAGTAATCCCATCCTACAACACAGCTTGTTTTTCCCAAATGATATTAAAATACATTTTCTTACTGTACACTGACATTCTTATATATCTGCAGTTGTATTATTCTCTCTAGTCTACAACAAAAGTAACAGAATTTCTGTCAAGTGACAAAGAAGTAAAAACCTTTTATTATGTTTATGTTCTCTTTTAATTATTATTTTTTTTTTTTAACATCCAAATTATCTGAATCATTTTTCCACTTTTGAAAATCAGATGTGAAGGCAGCTCAGAAGCTCTGTTAGCTCCATGGCTAAAGCCAGCTCAGTGTTTAACATATTTACTGCAGTATCCCACTTGTTATGGTAACATTGCTTAGATTTAGAGCTGATTCTTAGAATCACAGAGTAACCAAGGTTCAACATGACCTACTGCCAGTAATCTACTCATACCCAAAGTCACTTCATCAATCATTAGAAATTCTGTGGTCTCCATTTCTTTTTTATACTAGATTCATAGAATTTCATCATTAGAAACTAATAAAGGATGACTCTGCCTAGCAACCTCTTATCATACAGTGCCTTTTACACAGTGTGTCACAAACATCAATGCAAATGACAAGTAAAAAGCAAGCTGTACCCATTACTTTCAGTACTCTTCCTTAAAATATTTCTCCCTCACCTTGCAACCATGCAAAGAACACCAAAAAGAGATGGTGAGAGGCTGAAGCAGCAAGCTGAAGCAGCCCAAGCACTGACAAGCATTTTGTCTGGGTTCTAAGTGGCACATTCAACTGATTCATCACCAGCCCCAAATCTTTCTTCCTTTGCCCTCACAACCCATTGCTTTCAGGTTTATTCCTCCACACTTACCATCCCATGTCTACTTCATTCTGCTCTCTCATTTCCCAAAAGTTAAACTGCAATCCTTCACAGAGCAATTTCTACTTCCCTGAAAAAAAAAAAATAGTTGAAAGAAAAATGTAAAATCTTACCTTATTTGTTCCCAGACACTATGTTTCTTTCACTTTTGTTTTTTGTCATTTTAACTGTAAACTCTTTGACAAAAGGAATGCCTATTACTTTCTGGACTTCTAATACCTGTTTCCTAGGCATTAACATACTATGCAGACATTAATAAAAAATTCCATGCAATTTTGATCTAAGTCCCATCTCCAGAGTTAGATTCTTAGAAGTACTCTGCTAGACATAACTATTTTCTGCCATTTGGTACAAATTTAAAGCTCATTTTTTAAATCCTTTTAGTAATATACATGAATGCTGTCCTAACTGCCATATTTTAATGGATGCTACTTATAAGAACATCATACTCATACACCTCACAAGAAGTAGAACTCTTACCTACACTCACAAATCAAAGTAAGAAAATGTATCTTGTTGTTGAAATGCCTTCATGGAGTCTTATAATTTTACTGTGAAATAAAGCAGTTCCTACGTAAGCCAGTAGGCCACTCTACATTCTCAAAGTTGAACTCTGCTTAATAATTGACATTTTCTATTCAGTTTGTTGAAAACTCACATTTTGGATACCAAAGAACTCAATTTTGAATGAAAACAGGATCCCTGGAGAATTTAATAACATACTTCCCATAGTTCAGAATTTCTGAACAAGTCATCTTTTATCAGCCGTAATTGAAGTTGCCAAATTCAAGAACAGAACTGATGTGGCTACACACTGTGAAACCATTTAGTGACAGCACAAATACAGTGCACTGTAATTAGCTAGCTGTGGTTACAAAAAGAATTGTGCAGTGTACTGCCACCTCTACATAAATTCCAAAGAAGTCTTATGCTGTGCATTATTTGTAGGGTCACCAAAATTAAGTGCTGTGGTTTGCCCAGATATAATTTTAATTAACTGATTCAGAACTATTTGTATCTGAAATGTACTGAAACGTACTAAAATAAACCAGTTATTGAAAAATCATTACTAATATCTGGAAAAATAATATCATTTGAAATTTTAGATTCTTAATTAATCCAAGTAGTGAAAAAAATCCTGAAAGACTATCTGAAGTATTCTTAAAGCAATTTTAGTTTCCATCAAACACAGGTTGTTGCTTGCCTTAAGCTACTTTAGAGTCATTCCCTGAGATTTACAAGAGGTCCTCCATGGTGCAACTTCACAGCTGGCAAGAACTATGAGACTACCAAAGAGAAGGAAAATCTCACCAAAAAGAAGAACATGAGTATACGTTTCTGACTTTTGATTTGCATTTTCTATATACAGCTGACATAAGCTTTGGTCTGACCCTTTCCTCACCCATAAAACCCAAAATATGCACAGAGAATACACACACACGGACAAGCATTACACATACAACTTTTTTCCCTCTGCTTCAAAAATTTACCTCTGAAAACAAACTAGTTTATTGCTTTTTATATAGCAGTGTTGCTCAAACTTTTAATCTTTACCAGTCTAAATCAATATAATACAATGCCCATTATGTCTTTCATCAAATTTCATCAGCCAAAACTTTTAAAATATAGCAGAAAAGTGTATATATCAGGGACACTTACAGGAAAAGAAGAAATGGTGGGGATTTTCTTCCCATACAGTTCTACATTTATATACCTATTATTTAACATTTCAGTTGGTTTGTTTGACAAATTTAAATGTACTTATCTAAAAAGAAAAATAGTATGTAATATGTAGCATGTAATATGTAGTAATAGTATGTAATATGTAGTATGTAAATAGTAAGAAAAATGGTAGTTTATAGTATACAAATTCAGACATCTTGTCTAGTACCTTCTTTGACCAGTTCTTTCCATCTCTCACTAGCACTCATATCAAATCGCAATTCAATCACCTCATCAGTTTGAGGATTGCCATTTGTTCCTGTTATAAGAACAATTTAAAGGTGTTTGTTATTTTTGGTCACAATCACTTTAACTTTCAAAATCAGATTCTCCTCCTACATTAGGAAAAAACAGTGAGACACAATATCTTTGTTCATCTCTCCAAGTTTCTCCTCCATCAGCTCCTGATGCTAAAGCTCTCCTAAGTTTTCCTTTGGACCAAACTTCATGGAATTTTTCAGATGGGTGCTGAAGTTTCATAACGACCTCCATTCCCTAAGAATTCTTGGACTCCTGTTTGTATCTTGCTTCCATAAGCATGAAAATCTTCAAAAGAATTAAACAATTCTTAAAAGTACTGCATACTTGTGCCTTATCTTGGCCTAAAGACTTGCTCTATTTTCAGCTCCCTGCTTCTGTGACACAGCTGAAATACCCTTTAAAATATCTGAATTGAATGGCAGCAATTACATTCAATCCACAACAGAATTGTAGTTCTTTTTCCCTGAGACCACAAGGTATTTCAAAGCCTGAATTCACAGAGACCCTGGGAGGAATGCAGCTGATCTGAAATTATTTCAGACAGAGCTCTTGGTTAGAGCTAAGTATAACACACTTCTTAACATTCCTTAAAATAAAAGGAAATAAAACATACGCATTCCTATGAACCAAAAGCAACAGAATAATGAGTCATAGAGAATAACTGGCTTTGGAAGAGGAGGAGGGTGTTGAAACCTCAGAGGCTTTTCACCAATTCTGCACAAAGACTGAGGTTGGTGCCAGAAATTCTTGCCAAATATCATCCTACAAATTAACCTCTCTCACACTGCACATCTTTCCCAACACTCTCTGTTGGGCATAGTTTGCCTTTCTTTCCTGGTAACTACTGTTTAACACTAGCTCTCCCTGCTTATAAATAACTGCAGAACAGTTCCCCTTAGCAATGCTCTGCTCTCTTCTCTGTCCCCCAGCCAGCAGTCCTTTCCAAGCCCCTGGCCATGCTACACACTTGGAGAGCTCCCCATACTCTCTCTTCATAGCTCTCTTGCAGGGCTCAGAAACTGCAATTAAGTTGCAGCACATTCTGAAATCTATTATCGCGCACATAAAATCAGATGTCTCCCAGGTAAATTTGGGATCTGAGTAAGCATGCAATTTTTCCACTGGGAACAATTAGCAGCAGTACTCCTTTGATCTCTGTGCCCAAAACTAAGTGAGTTTCAATCTGCCCTAACATTAGTGGGCAAGTCTTCATCTGTTTCTGAATTCAGCACTACCTCACAAAGAGAGCTTAAAGACATTAGAATTAAAAAACAAAATCATTACATGCCCATTGTGAAAATGTGAGAGAAGATGTGATTGCTTAGGGAATTGGGGTTTAGTCATTTGCCTTTCTGCCTTCAGAAGTTTTCATGTAAACAGGGAGAGAGGTTGTCTGTGTGTTTTCATTTTTTAAGGCTTTAAAAATGTCTAAAGTGTGTGTTTTGAGCCAGACAGAAAACTCAGCTCCTAAAGACAGAAGAAACAGATCTGTACATCTCATTTACATACAAACAACTTATTGATATTAAAGACAATGTAATTTTAGGGCTGAAATCCTTCTAACCTAAAGGCTGCAGCCACATCTGTACCAAAGGACAGAAACATGTGGATGGCATATTCCTGTCCAGAGACTATGGATGTGACTGTAGACATGCACATCAGCAGCATGCATATGTCAAAATGGACTTTGGAATGCCTCAAAACTTAATGATCTTAATGCACGTAGGTAGACTGTGGATGCAACACCTGCTTATGCCAGATTCCTGGGTATCCAGCAGAGCTCAAACACAACTGGCTGGTGCGTAGAATTATTGAGCAGAGGAACAAATACTGCATGGAAGGAAGGACACAAAGAACGGATGAATTTAATAAGTAGATTCATAGTTGAAACAGATTGAGTAGTCATTTGTAAGCTTTGTTATGACATTCGAGCCTGAATACCAGTAGAGATTCTACTAAAATTTTTCTATCAGTTCAAATTAACATTTTTAAAGTAATCATGTAGATTGAAGAAGCTTGGTGGGAAAGCATATATTCTACGTTGTATTGAACAAACACCTTCAAACAATACTAAAAATCTACATTTGGTACATAGTTGTAAAAAAAATTCACAGTGATTAATTATGACTGCAGTTTAAAAAAGAAAAAAGAAAAACTTGCTAGCAAGATTCCATATCACTTTGAATCATTTCTGGTTCCAAAGACCAAACAAATTTTTAAAAAGAAAGGCTGTTTAACCATTTCTTCATCATTCCTACACACATGAACAAAGTCTGTTAAAAAGCGTAATTATATTACCTTAAGAATGTAATTTAAAATGGGCCGATTTTCAAGATGCCTCTTTTTTCTGCAGGTTCCAGCTCAATTTTTGTAGTCGAGAAAAAAATTATCCATATGTAAACAGTGCTCGTTTACACTGAAGAATAAACAAGCAAAACCCTATACTTATTTGAGGCGTGTTTCTTAGATACATGTATACATGTTTTGCTAAACAACCTGAAGTATTTAGAAATGCAGTTGGTAAATAGCATTATAGTGTGCTAACTGTACTAACTAAAATGTAGCCAGTTAACTTCACATGATTGCCTGTATTTATTGCAATGGTTTAGCTTATAGAGGAACAGATGGTTCCCATGTGCTCCCAATCAAATACTCTCAACTGCTTATTTGATCATCTGCACTAGGTTTTTTGATTTATATAATTGAGCCTTAGCATTCCGTACTTCTTAAACGTGACCTGCTTCTTGCAGCTCTTTCGGCTTGTGGCAATTGCTGTTGGCTGATGGCCAGAGCCTTTTCTGCAGACTTTTGAGTATAGTTAATTCAGTAGTGAGTTAAAAACAGACGCTCTGTATTACTTAGGACAACGCAGTCTAAATTCCATTCTCCCAATAGATGCAAGTAAATACAATTAATAATTCAACCATTAACCACAAATGAAAGGTTTGTTTAATGTTGTTTAACACTTTACGTTTTTATGACACATACATGAGTAGCTTACTAAGAGTAACCTACTGTTTATATAACTTTCTCTTGTCCATTTGGTTAAGAGCCAAAGGTCATTGTAAAATCAGTCTCCTACACTCC